CATCCTTATTAATTAGTGTGGAAAAACTAAATTATTAATTGTCGCCTTCAAACCAGCAACACAACTAACATCACAAACACCCTCAGGGCTCTGTGGAAATTCCTTTAGACTTCATAGACCCCCACCCCGCTTCTAGAGCCTCGTGGACCCCTTCTAGACCGCATGGAACCTTCGCCCACTCCAGATCTCATCGGCACCCTCTGGATCCCCTTTGCGAGCTAGCTGCCAAAATGTTTGTCCCTGATGCGAGTCACATTTCTTCATGAGAACAACAGGAAAGTGGCGCGAGCACTGACCGAATGTAATCGCACATGAGGTCAACATGACTTGAGTGAATCTGCGTTGACTCTTTAGGAAGTTAATCAGAGTGGATGACGGCTGGAATGTGTTTTGAATGGTTCGTGTTCGAAGACGGATCATCACCGCCAACATCACGGCTATGCTCAGCGCTGAGAAGACGGCTCGATGACATGTGAGAACCGTGTAAAGAGTCTGTGGCAAATAGTCCGATTGTCTGAAAGTGCTCNTACGGTTTTAAATGGATATTTCGCCTAATAGGCAAACTGTTCCTTAGGAAAACTGTCCGTTAGGCAATGTGTCTTTAGACGGATTGACTGGTCCCGATGTTTCGATTGAGCTCATCCACTCCAAAAGCTACACGAGAATAGGAGGAGGAGGAGAGGGGGAGGGGAGTGGATCACGGTTTCCTTTTCAGGATGATGAAGTGGGCGGGGGGGGGGTGGAAAGGTATCACGAAAATATTTTCACTATCTGTAAGTTAAGTCATACTTTAGCAATCCTCTGGCTTTAGAAGATATAGGAGAAGCTTGCTTACCTGCATTCGAGATCCGTTTTAGATGGGATATTGCGATAGGATATAAACACAACACATGCAAACATTACAAATGATATTAGATATGATATGGTTAGTTGATAGTGAATCAGTTTGCGATTATTAACAAAATAGTAGAGTGGTGCGTATACGGCTAATAGACGATCGATGCTACTCATCAATGAGAGCACAGCGATCGAAGAAAACACGTAGAGATCGACAAGGACAATTGGCTGAAACAAGAATGGGATTTAGATGTGGGCCAAATGGAAGATCTTAAGTGATCAGCGAGCTTTTTGTTCCACTCTCTATTCCTCTTTCTTCTCTGTTCCACTTTCTGTTCCAACTGTTCTAGTTGGTTCCATTGTGCATGGTTTGTTTCATTCTGCTCTTGGCGTGATTTCCAGAAATTTTTT